CCTCCCTGCCTTTACCCATAACCGACTTCACTGGTCGGAACTCACTAGACTTTTTCCAATTTTTTGGGACCAACTCCCCATAGGCTAAGTAGAATTCCCGGACCCAGGAAGGAATATAAGATCCACATGGGCTCGTGAACTGTTAGAACTCATGATATCTAAGCGTGTCAAGCACCTCAACATTCTTACCTTCCAAGCCCTCCACAGATAGTAATTTGTCTTCTAGAATAGTTCGTAAACTGTCGCCTTTTAGTATGTTCAGCAACCTGGGTGGAGGTGAAGCTACAGGGAGTGCAGGAGCCACTACAGGTGGTGCCGGAGTTGCCACTGTTTCAGTCGTAGAAGGAGTTACGACTGCGGGAACTTTGGTGGGTGTCTATTGATTTCTATCCTTGAGGCTATTTTGTCGGTGAATCAAGGATTGTTCATCATCTGGTTCAGAGAAGTCTGGCTCAACAGCTGACCCTCTTCTAGCGATATGTTTTTTTCGTTTGCTTTTATCTCCCAGTGGAAGATCTTGCTTTCTTTCCTATAAAGGACATGATCCTCCTTCCCTGATAGTTATTCCTTTAGCCCTGCTCTGAGGTGGTGCATTTAAGTTTGTGAGTACCATATCTGCAAATGTTTGTGATTAGTCAGAAGAACAATCACACTAAAATACAGAAGATCTGAAGCAGAAAGATTCGCCGAACAGTTGGCGAATCGCCAAATTTCTTTTGGGAGCTAGGTCAAACTCGCCGAAGGGATTAGCTTGAAATCTAGGAAAATAAGCGATGAAAAATTCTATTTGGAGAGATGCCGACTACTTTCGGAAATGACGAAGTTGTCCGCCAAAAGATAAAGTGAAAAAAGGTAGAGGAGGCATGCGAAAGGCGGTCTGAAGTCTTAATGGCGAGTCGCCGACTACCTTCGGCGACCATGGATGTCTCTGCCGAAAGTTACAAACCTTTCACCATTATGGACATGAATGAAGAGCAATATAGGTTCAGTAAGCAAACCGCCGAATCGTTTCGGGAGCACCACCCAGCTCGCCAAATGATTCACCGTGCCTATTTTTCAACCCACTTCTTAGAATCAACAATACAAGCACTGAAAACGAAATTAAAGCATGCAGACATGAAATTCATACAAGACCCATACTTCCCGTCATTCCGGAATACTCAGACTTCTTTCGGTCCAGCCAAATTTTAGCCATTTAACTACGATCACCTTTAAGAATGTCGTCACCCATTCTTTTGTTAAGCAATTTTTGTTGTTCAGCACAAATGTGGTCCACAGCATTTTCGTTATTTAGCACAACTAACCTAACAACGATTTCGTAACACCCATTTCAAGCTCATTCAAACCAAAGCACAACCACAAAGGCATTCGACTATTAAAGCAGTTCACGCAAAATTTTCAAATTAACTATAGCATCAAAACACCGTATTTCTATCAGAGAGGCTCAGCACACATCATCCTGATACTATAATTGCAAGAGAGTGCAAAATTATCAAAACTAAGTTCGGAGTTTTAGAGACTAACCTTTGATGCTGATCGAATTGCTTTTTGAAATGCTAAGTAGCAACAAAATCCAATCCCAAGCACTAATTACAGACTAAAATACTGTTTTAAGGTAAAAATCTAACAAAAATCATCTTTGGTGTGATTTTGAGGAGTTTGAAACTAAGAAAAGTGAGAGATTCAAAAATTTGACTTTTGGCCTTTACATAACCGTTCAGCTTCGGCCGTTTGGTGACGTTAGTCTTGTCACCAATCAACTCGACGACGTGCTGAACGTGTACTCATATCGCTGAGTTTTATAGGACATGCCTTATTTTGAGGTCACAATGGCGAATTAAATCATAATCGCCGATAGGTTCGGCGATTCGCCAACCGGTTCTTTGGTTCGCCAACTTGCACTTTACAACACCTTCCTCGCTTTAACTTACAAAATCGGCACACCATTATTCAATCAGAATAACTTAAAGAAATATCACCTTGTGTTGCCTCCCAAGAAGCACCTTAGTTAACGTCGTGGCACGACGCAAGTCATGTCTTATTATCCGTTATTGGGGTTGGCCCTAGTGTCAGTCGGTGCCCCCAATGCGATACTTCGAAAATCGGGAGTTACCTGATTAGCTGGATTGATCTAGAGTGAGATCCAATCATTTGATTCAGCACTTCAATATTCTCCTTCATTTCTTCCAACACCCGATCATGATCGGTGATCTTTTGGAGAATGATTTGAAGTGTGTCCTCGACACGATTTTTCTCCCCATTTCTAGACTTCCTCCGCTCATGAGAGGGTGTGTACCTTCCCCTTCTATTTCATTGAACTTCCACCTCTGAGACTTTAGTGGACAAGTGATTTAGCTTAAATAACAGTGCAGTCAGCGTGAGGTCCTTTGGGACTCCTTGGCTCATTTCAACCAATTTTCAACTACTCTACTAAGCCATGCTCACCTAAATAGACAACTCAACGAAAAACGAGACCAAAAGTAAAGTTAGTGAACTGCAACTAAGAAGAACAAATATTCTACTAATCTAAAAATTCACAACTAGCAGCACTCCCCGGTAGCGGTGACATTTTGATGCTTATCGTGACCAAAGACAATAATATGCGGTATGCGTGTCTACGATCATCAATAGTATAGTAACCTAACTTAAGGTTGGGGTCGTTTCCCAAGGGAGTGGTTTTGAGAATGAGCATAAAAGTAAAATTAAGCTCTAACTAGTCGTAGCTAAAGATATTAACGAGTAAAAACATAGTAAATTAAAGGTGTGACAGAAAAGAGTCAAATAACGATTTAGGGTTTTGTCACAGGTATTAAAAATAGCAAAAATTAGCAAGAAAATCAAGTGTGGGGAAGTGTTCTTGGGGTGTGACCGCAATACAAGTTGACATAAATAGTTGGGTATATGCTTTTGATAAGAAATTTGTAAGATAATAGTGACTAGGCTAAGCTTTAAATGGAAATAAGTTCCCTCTCGGGCAACTTACTCCATTTCAAATCCGTTTCTCTCGAACACTCAATTTCTGCATGTAGACCAGCCTATGCCTTACCCCACTCACTCTCTCGAGCTGAGTGTTAGGATATGGGACTAGGGCTCACCCTCTCGGGCTGAACCTCATGTCGACCCACTCCTTAGGCCCTCAGTCTAGTGGTTTATTGGTTTCGCGACCTCCCTCTCGGGAAGGACGAAAATACATAAGTGGCTTTGTATTTGCAACTACAAACCCTTTAGATTAAACCACAACCACTAGGTGAAATCACCATTAAACTACATCTAACTTATCAGGAAGAAAGACCCAACAATAATATCAAGACATATTTGCTAAATCACACCCCAAGAATTGGGGGTTTTAGCCACACATCAATAAATAACAAAATACACTTAAAATGATAGTAAATTCAAATGGGTATAAGAAATTAAACCTTAATTTAACCAAACGAAGAAGAATAGAGAAGAGGCACTTCCAACTTGGCGAAGATGAACCCCTTTCTTCAAGTTCCCAAAATCCCTCTCCACACTTGAGAGAAAATATCTAAAAAGTACTATTTTATTCTGGAAATTAAAATAAAACTTTGACACTTAAAGATAATAATAAGTTCAGTATTTATAGACTTCAAAAACTAGCGCTGGTGGATCTTTCGGCGAAGTTAGCTGATGTCACTGAATGACTTCGGTGACTCCCCCTTCATCTGTCTCATTGCCATTTCATGCTTTCCTTCAGCACCTTCACGTTCTGGACCATTGGGCGGTATAGTACTACTTCGCGGAACTATTCAGCGAAGCATCGACTGCTCCTTTCATCGCCTTTTTGATCCTTCTCTTTCAGGGCTTCGCGTACTGGAACAAAGGGCGGAGTAAATCCCTTCGGTGAATCTCCAAGTGTACTTGGCGATGCTCGGGCTTTAGCTTCATCGTTCTTTTCAGCCTTTTTGTTCCTTTTTGTGCCTAAGTGTCCATGCTTTCACTAAAACTTCAAATACTTGAAACTTAAGAGTTTTCATCAGATATTTAGACAAAATAAGCATTCGAGGACACTATTCTTATCAAAATAAATCCCTAAATGAGTCCAATTTTTGGACTTATCATTACACTCCCTTACTCTATTTAGAAGAAGGAAAATCTCTCAACTTGTGACCAGTCTGTCAACAACCAAAACATCCTTCCTTCCCAGCAAGACACTTACCCGAATGTTTCTTACCACACTTAGGAGAAGTTGGGTAGGTCCAATTACCTAAAACACACCCGTACGTCTTAGAGCCTGATGTCCTACCATTCTGATCCTGACGAAACCTAGAGGATGGAACACTAGCTTATGAAGGTGTTATAGCTGAAGATATCTTCTGGAACCGAGAGTGATTTTCACCTCCCGATTTCTACTGATAATACTCATAGTTTCCTATCCTAGCCTACTTATTAACCTTAGCCTATTCCTTAAGTTTATCTCCCTCAACCTGCTGAGCATGGGTCATAAGCCTAGAGATATTCATATTTTCTAGCAACATAGCATTTTTGCATTCTGTTTTCAGTAAGTCGGACACCCCGTACAGAAATTTATTCATTTGTGCCCTTGTATCAGCAACCATGTGAGGAGCATACCTGGAGAGTTGGGTGAAATTGAGTTCGTACTCTTGGACTAACATGCTACCTTACCTCAAATTCAGGAACTCCTGAGCTTTTGCCTCCCTCAATTCTCTTAGGAAAATTTTGTCCAGAAAAGTCTCACTAAAACACTCCCAAGTGATAGGAACTGCATCCGTACCCCTATTTTCTTTCCATTGAGTAAACCAGGTGTGAGCTACATCCTTAAGCTGGTAGGATTCCAACTCTACCCTATCGTTACCAGTCACTTATATCACTCCAAAGATTTTCTTGACCTCATCAATGAAGTTCTGGGGATCCTCACCAACCTACAACCCTAGAAACTTAGGTGGATTCATCCTAAAAAAATCTCGAACTCTAGCTGTAGCTGACTCAAGATTAGTGTTAGTAGGAACTGGGGCCTGTTAATTGTTCTGGTTTGTCCCACTTTGAGCCAAAAGCTGAATAGCATTCTGAAACTCTACATTCAAAACTTCTTGATCTGGGACTGGAGGAGTTGCGTTAGCATTGCCTGCATTAGCATTCCTTGTGTAAGCTCTACGAGGACGCATGATCTGAAAACACATAATGATGGATTAGAAAGAGAGATCATACCAACGCACAATAAGAATATCAAGAAGGTGAAGTTTTCCTAAAACACTTCGTAGCCTCCCTCTCATTAGATGTGTTTCACTTCACACCCATGAAAAGGACTCTACTTAGTACGGTTTTTCAGACATCATAGGACACTTAAACCTAATGCTCTGATACCAAATTTGCCACGCCCCGAGGCTACCCCCTTGACGTAAACACAGGACCTAGGATCATGAGTGACCCTAAGCTAACCTTGAGGTGGCATATCATAAGCATACTAAAAGATTACTGAATAAAATATACTATATAAAAGCTAGAAACAAATCATAAAATGAAATGATGAGGAATACCCATTCTAGGTCTGAATAAATATAACTGAGTTTAATGACAAATGCAATATCAAACTCAAACTAAAACTAAATCTAAATTATATCTGAATAAAAGCCTTTACTGACTAGAGATTCTGATATATGTCTCTGTCTAACTCTAGCAAGAACTGAAACTAAAGACTAAAAAAAGAAAGATAACATGTCACTCGTCCTCAAAGAATGAGGACTCACCACTAATACTGTTGAACTGGAGATCGGGAAGTGATCTATGTGTGATTTGAATGCTGAGGACCAGAACCTACATCACGAGAAGATATAGCGCAGAGTATGCGTCAGTACTTGAAAGGTACTGAGCATGCAGGATAGAATAAAGTTGAATAAAACATATAACTGAACAAAGTGATACAGCAATGATATAATATGAACATGATAAATATGCTAAACATGTTGAATATGAACTAACTAAATGTAGTGACCAAGTTTATAACATATTGAGAATGAATATTGAACTGTAACTGATAATCTGGTCAATACACTAGAATCTGTCTGTGGGAGCTACTATTAACCGACATAAAACCACATGAGCTAAATGTCGATTCAAATGTATACGCCCCATCAAGAGGACCCAATATACCTTGCCAAGGGTATAGAGGCATGACTAGCGTGATCACTAAGTATAATTCCCACAGAGGGGACTAACCTATGGGGCACGTAGTTCTGGGACTATGAGGGTGACTGAACCTTAGTCCACTCGGTATTAAGCCTACTCCCAACTGATTATGTAATTAACACATTATGACTGAATATCTGTAATATTGAGTAGCTCAAAATACTGACATGCTAACTGAAAATGCAACAATAATATACTGATAATGAAGCATTCTTATATGGGGAATGTATAACTCAATAATATGACCTAGAAAGTATAATTCATGAACTAAATAAATCTACACAACTAGGGTTCTGAGTTTCATGAAAGAAGCTAAGCAACAATTCCTCAAAAACATGATAATCTGATTTGGATTAGTCTAACAACTGCATCACAATAATAATCTGAATTTCTAGAAACCCTAGGTCTGAACATGATGTAGATAATCAAGAGTCTAACTGAATTCTAGGGACCTAATAGGTGAAAGGAACCCACTAGTGAAATCCCACGGAGAAATCTTTCGATTTCAGGGCTGAAACTGCTCAAAACCTACTGCATTCTTGGAGAGGGGTTTGGTCGATGTTTTCTCCTCTTTTTCTCTAGTTTGATGGAATATTTGGAGAATGTATTGACTAGGGTAGGTTCTGATTAAGTAACTAGGCTAAAACTGACCAAAACTACATAGTTTAGGGGTTAAACGATATTGTTTAGTGGTCCAACGCATAGGGAAAAGACCAAACAACCCCTGACTTAAAAATTGTTGGGGCCAATGTACCTGACCGATGGACCATGGGTGGACCTACGATCCTTTTTGGTCAACCGTCGTTCAACGTCTGAAGGCTGAAAACTAGGAGTCTGACCCACGGACCGTGGTCCCACCTTTGGTCCGTAGGTCCTGGCGTAGGTCATGACTTATCTAGATTTTCTGGGGGTTCTGGAGAGGGAGTTGCAGGTGGCCAACCACGGACCCCACCTACGGTCCGTATGTGGCACCCGTCGGTGGCACCTGCAACTTCTGAAAAATCTGTTGGCCGGTTTTTCTAGGATATGGGGTGTTATATTGCGAAGGAAGACCTTGATAACAAGGGAAATTTGTTTCATGCTAGATGCAAGATCATGGACAAGTTGTACTTTGATCATAGATAGAGGGAGTTGCACCAATGTGGTGGGCTATACCTTGGTGGATCGTATGCAACTTCCCACAAAGAAGCATCCCATTCAAGAAACTCCAATGGCTCAATGATAGTGGAGAGATGAAGGTCCTTACGCGAGAACATATCAAATTTAGCCCTAGTAAATATCAAGATGAAGTTCTTCATGATATTCTAACTTTGCTAGCATGTCACATATTGATCAGAAGGCCATGGCAATTTTATAGGGATGTCACACATCAAGGGAAGTACAATAAGTACTATTCTGTAATGGAGGTCCAGAAATATGTACTTGGACCATTGACTCCCTATCAAGTAAGTGAAGATATCGGATCATGAAGGATCTTCGGGAGAGAACAAGGGTGTAAGAAGGGGAGGTTGTGACTAAAAGTTCCACACTTTTCAAGGAAAAGAGAATGACTTGGATAAAACTAAAGGAAAGATGAGCATGATATCCAAGTCATTCAAGTTCTTAAAGGGTGTAGATGAGGAACACTTTCTAGTGTGCCTTGTCATGACCCATCTCCTATTACATGCTAACCAAGATACTATAACTTTGCGTAGTATTGATTCTTCTTTTTTGCAGGAATATGGTGATCTTTTCCGGATGAGATTCCCAAGGGACTACAACCTTGAGAGGGATTGAGAACGAATTGAATTTGTGATGAGTTCTCAAATTCCCAACCGGACAGCCTATAGAAGTAATCCAGAAGAGACCAAGAAGTTACAAAATATAATTGAAGAGCTCCTAGGGAAAGGCCTAGTCAAGGAGAGTCAATGTCCTTGTGTCGCCCAGTAAAACTTGTTCCTAAAAAGGATGGCACTTGGAGGATGTGTATTGATTGTAGAGCTTAAGATCGTGTGAAGTATCGACATCCCATAACTAGAATTTATTATATGTTTGATAAGCTACGTGGGTCAAGTGTGTTTTCAAAGATTGATCTTCGAAATGGTACCACCAAATTCGCATGAACCTAGGTGATGAATGGAAAACGACCTTCAAAACTAAGTTTGGGTTGTATGAGTGGCTTGTAATGCCATTTTTTATGACTAATGCCCCAAGAACATTCATGAAGTTGATGAATAATGTCTTTAATCCTTTCATCAATAAGTTTGTTGTCATTTATTTTGATGCATACTTGTGTATAGCAAGACAACTGAAGAACATATGTCCTATTTTGAAATAAGTTTTTGGTGTATTTCTATGTGAATGATTATTTTCTAATTGAAATAAGTGCTCTTTTTATGCTCAGAAGGTAGTATCCTTGGATTTTTTTCTTAGTGTGAATGGTATAGAGGTGGATGACGAAAAAGGTGGAGTGAATTAGAAGTTGGTCAACTCCTACTAATACAACCAAAGTAAGGATTTTCCATGGGTTGACAAGGTTCTATCGATATTTTGTGAAGTGATTTAGTACTATTGCTTCTCCAATGACCGAATTGATCAAGAAGGATGTTCTTTTTGTTTGGGAAGCCGAGCAAGAAAAATCTTTTAAAGTCTTTAAGTCTATGTTGAGTTCCTCACCATTCCTCCAACTGGGATAAGATCAGACTCGAGAAATTGTCTACTTCAAGGCTACAAAGAGGACTACGCTTTGCAGGTTGGCATCACTATTTATCATGTCAAGATGGAATTTCGGTTTATTTTTTAAGGTGATCAGAAAGATTCGACGAATATATCAAAATGTATTTTCAAAAATTATCGCATTCAAAATAAATGTTCGCTAGCACGTCGATCGGTTAATTCAATAAAATCAAAAATTAGCACTCAATTTCGTTGGCACCATGCAATTGAACCAATCCAATTGTTTAGCGCTAAGTAAGCAAGCTACCGCTCCGTGGGGTAAAAATCGAGGAAAATAAAGAACTTCAAGTAGAAAGGAATAAGGTCTCACGACACAATCACCATATCTTTGATTTTTCTTTATATCTCCTCGACTTGAGCCGAGTGGATGATATGTGGCGTGGTATCCAGCACCCAGCTCAGCTGAAGAGGCCTAGCATGATCTAAGAAATGTTAATTCGATTCGGATAGACTTCATTCAAGAATGCCACCGCCCCGGGAATCAATGAAAGAAACAACCTTTTCAGGATGAGATTAGGAAGCCTAATGGAGCCAATGAGAAAGCAGTTGCAGGCCAGCGTAGGCTTGCTCCGCACAGGTTACATCTGGGCCTTATATTGATATTCTTTTCAATTCATTTTGAAATTTCTTTGGTCCGGGGTACCGCCCAATCCATTTACATCTATTCATATTGCCAATGAAATGGAATATGAGGGACTCTCTATCTAAGTGGTTAATCCGACGAGTCAATTCTCAATGCGATGCATCCATGAAATGGGACGGAGATCTGCCCAAACTTAGTGCAGTCCTATTAAAGATGGAATTTGAGATTGAGATTGAGATATGATAAGGGGTTGTAAGCACTTCTGAGGATGTTGGTGCATTGGCAACATTACTTATGGCAGATCATAAGTCCTTAAAGCGTCTTAAGGGACAAGCCAAGTTGAACAAGGCGCATGCAAAATGGGTAGAATTCGTTGAAACTTTTCCCTATGTGTTCCACTACAAGTGAGGAAAGGAGAATATTGTGGAGGATGTTTTCTCAAGGAGGTTTGCACTGGTTAACACCAAGACCTCCTAAATGATGGGGTTTGAAAGCCTAAAGGAATTATGTTCTAAGGATTCTGACTTCAAAGAGAAATTTGATGAGCTCTCTCAAGTGAAATGGGTTGATAGGTTCCAATTGGTTAATGGCTATTTATTCAAGAATGGTAGAGTTTGTGTCACACTGAGCTCATGGAGAAAATTATTCATCAAGGAGGCTCATAATGGTGGAATGATGGGTCACTTTGGGGTGCTCAAGACACTTTACATCCTCATGAAACAATTTTATTGGCCCCAAATGTGATATGATGTGGAGCGAGTATGTGATCAATGCCTAGAGTGCAAGCAAGCCAAACCCACAACTTGTCCCCAAGGTATGTATACTCCTCTTCCTACTTCTACTAGTCCAGGGGTGGACATTTATATGGATTTTTTGCTAGGATTCCCTCAGACTAGGAGAGGACATGATATTATCTTTGTGGTAGTATATAGGTTCTCTAAAATGTCTCATTTTATACCATTCCAAATATGTGATAATGCATCCCATGTTGCTTTGTTGTTTGTGATAAATGTGCTTAAAGAAGACAAGAAGAGTTTTAATGCTACCTTTATTGTACTCATACCAAAAAAGAAAGGAGCAAAATAATTAAGATATTATAGACCAATTAATCTTATTGGTAGTATTTATAAAATACTATCTGATCGTACCTCTCCTCGAGACCTCTTTCACTGAGAACTAATTCAATGTCTTTACGCATGTGAGCAGTCCTACATTATGCCCTTCAATGACATTGTCTCACAAAGAGACTTGGGGGTGTGATACACAAATAGGTGGATTCACAACAAATGACCTTTATAAAAGTGAGACAAATCATGGACCTAGTTTTGATAGCTAATAAATCAGTAGACTCGGGATTAAATAGAAGAAACTTGGCATTCATTGCAAGTTAAACATAGAAAAAGTTGGTAGTACGTGATGAAGATCTTAGAAAGGATGGGATATGGATAGAAATGGGTGTACAGGATCATTTTTTGCATATCAATAGTAAACTTTTATGCTTTAATCAATGGATCTCCTATAGAATTTTTCACCTCCCTAAGAGGACTCATGCAAGGTCACACACTATCACCTTTCCTGTTCTTAATCACTATGGAGGGTCTAAATAGTATGTTTAAGACAGCTAACACAAGATGATGGTTGAAAGGTTTTGATGTGTCCAAAGATGGAATAGAAAGCCCTAAAGTGACACACCTTTAATATGCTAATTATATACTCATCTTCCATGGACCTGGGGAAGATAAATTAAAATATTTAAGGGTGATTTTGGTCTTATTTGAAGGGGTATCTTGCTTGCAAATTAATCAAAGGAAAAGCTTCATGTATCCTATTAATGAAGTCAATAGCATGAATTGTATATCTTCAATACTTGGTGGTGAAGTTGGGCATGCCTTAGGGAGAAGATCCAAGTTTATTGAAACTTTGAATAGTGTGAGAAAAAAATCAGCTACATGGAAAACACAGTACCTATCTATGGGAGGGAGATTGAAAACGTTATCAACTCAGTCCTTCATGCTTTGCCAATATACATGATGTCACTATTTCCTATTCCAACAAGCGCCATCAAAAGTTTGGATAGGATGAGAAGGAAGTTCATGTGGCAAGGTTATAACGAGAAGAAAAGATTTCACCTTGTTGAATAGGAATTTGTGGCAACTGGGAAATATAATGGGGGATTGGGAATAAAGAATATGACATTTCAAAGTAAAGAAGTGATTATGTAAATACTCAGTTGTTCTACCGAAGAGAATTGGATAATTAAGGATGTGACTTCACCTTATGGGGTCAAGTTTTGGAGATCCATAAGAGAATTATGGGAGTAAGTCAAACTCAACTCCAAGGTGAAAGTGGGGAATGGGAACAAGACCAGAATCTGAAAGAAAGAAAGAAAGAAAGAAAGAAAGAAAGAAAGAAAGAAAGAAAGGCATGAGTGAGATAATCTAGAACTCCTTTTTAGAGACATATATAACCTAGTTCTCTCAGAACAATGGACCATTGCAGAGATTTGAACAACACAAGGCTGGAATTTCCATTTCAGGATACAACTTAATGACTTGGAAATTATTAGGGTGGCAGAATTTCTCCACACAGATGGAAATTCAATGGACCCCAGGTAGAAGAGGGTGTATTATGGTGGAAAGGAAGCAACAATGGTATATTTAAAGTAAGGGCATATTTTATATGACTGCTAGGTAAGGAAGCAACTTTGACAGAGGATAATGTTATGAAAAAGGGGGATCGCTTAAGAACTTAAGATACAATAAGCTCAAATAAAATATAACTGCAGGAGTCTGAGAAAATAGTTTCCAGAGAAAAAGAATGATGGCCTGAACTTTTTATTTAATCAGTTGATGACCTTAAATAGAATTACAACTTTAATTGAGTCACAATCCCCCTAAACCACTATATGAATCCACTAACCTAACTCTCCTAAACTTTAGGGAAACTTATCTGCTACTCTAGAAAATAACAGAACACCCACGTATTAAATAAAATATCAAACTAACAACTACGCTAAAAATAGCTATACTGCAGACTTGGTCAAATTAAAATAGGAATGATGTGGTCAACTTTAACAACCCTTCTCGACATAAACTCTCCGTTTTAACCATGCCTACTTGCTTGTAGAAACTCTACAACTTGTTGACAATAAAACCTTTGGTGAACAAGTCTGCAATTTGATGTTCTATTTTAGTGTACTCAAAACAAATCTCTCCTTGCAAAAAATTCTCCCGAATAAAGTGGTAATGTATCTCCACATGTTTAGACCTTGCTGGAAATATGTATTTTTGTCCAAGCAAAGTGCTGACTGATTATCACAGTACAAAGCAACTGCATAGCCTACTAGTTGCTTTAGATCCTTCATCACTGTATAAGCCATGTACTTTCTTGAGATGCAACTGTTGTTGCATGATACTCTGTTGTTGGCTACCTTTAGTTGCACCAAGAAATTACTCCAGCTCCAAGCTTAAACACAAAGTAAATAGTTGAACGACGGGTATTAGGGTCTGCTCCATAGTCAGAGTCACAATATCATATCAGCTTGTAATCTTTATCTTTCCTATACAAAAGACCATAATCAATTGTACTCTTTACATATCTCAAGATTCGACGAACTCCATCCAAATGAGACTTCTTTAGATTTTGAATGTAACGACTCACCACACCTACTGCGTAAGAGATGTTGGTTCTTGTTAAAGTTGAGTAAATCAAACTACCCATCAATTGCCAATACATTGTTGCATCTTCGAAGTCTTTCCGTTCATGAGCACAGATCATAGCATTTAGATCCAGCAGTGTTGAGGTTGGTTTGCAATAGAGCATCCCTGCCTTCTTTAATAAATCCTTGGAATGTTTTTGTCGATGCAAGCACATTCCTTCTTCATTGCGATCAACCTCCAAGCAAAGAAAATTGTTGAGTTGTCCAAGTTCCTTCATCAGGAAGCGTACTGATGAATTATCCTTTGTTAGGAGAATTTCTTCTTCACAATATCCTGTAGGATTAGATCAGGATTAAATCATCCGCATATACTAGCACAATAGCTAGTTTTCTGCCAACAATTTTCACGAACATGGTGGGATCTGACGGTGCTACTGAAAAACCACTATAAGTAAACAATTCAAAAACCTTACCATACTATGCCCTTGGCACTTGCTTTAATCCAGAAAGCGACTTTTCAAGCTTACACAAATACTTAGGATGATCTTGGCTTTGAAAATTCATTGGTTGACACATGTAGATCTTTCGATCAAACTCTCCTTGCAAGAAGGTATTCTTTACATCCATCTACCAAACGTTCCAATCTTTACTAGTTGCAAATGCAAGTAAAACTCGAACAGTAGTAAGCTTTTCCACGGGACTAAACGTTCATCATAGACTAGTCCATAATGATAAGAAAGACCCTTAGCTACAAGATGAGCTTTGCACCTCTCATTGATCCATTTGTGTGACACTTTATCTTGTAAATCCATGTGCAAAAAATAGGTTTGACAGCCCCTGGTTTTGTCACAATCTCCCACGTTAGATTCAGTTGTAGCACAAAAATTTGCTCTTCCATAACTTTAATCCACCTTGGATTTTGGAATGCTTTCTCAAAAGTTTCTAGTTCCTTTTCATTTTCATCTTCTACAATGGCAGCATTGGTAAACTTGGGATTTTGATTTCTGATCCTTGTTGACCTTCTAAGTGAAGGTGGTGAATCTGCTCCAATTAGCTCACCTTCATAACCTGGTTGTTGGTACATACTAGTTTACCAAGGATTTTGAGTCACGTCTTTGTATGCATTGTTTTCATTAGCTTTACCTTCAACTAGATCTAGACTCAACTGGATATGAGAAGATTCCAACACATCTTTGAAGACATCTAAATCAGGCAGCAGTTCCTTATTTGAAGACCACCAGGAAAAAGCTTCATCAAACATCACATTTCGAGAAGTGTAGCACTTTCCTGTTGTTGGATCACAACATCACCACCCTTTTAGTTGATTGTCATACCCTACAAGTATACACCTAACTACCTTCTTTTCCATCTTGCTACGTAAATGATTAGGTACAAATACATAGAATATTAATCTAAAAACATGAAAATAGCTAACAGAGGGTTTCATGTTCCAAAACTTCTCAAAAGGTGAAAGAAAATATAACCTTTGTTGAAGAAGTCTATTGATCACAAAAGCTACAGTCTTCATAACTTCTGCCCAAAATTGTCTCGGGATATATTTTGCGCGAAACAGGCTTCGAGAGAGTTCTACTATGTGTTTGTTCTTCCTTTCTTCTAAGACATTTTGTTGTATAGTATTTGGACATGTTAACTGATGGCGTATTCGACACTTTCCAAGGAATTCAGAAAATTCATTTGAGGTATATTCCCCATCATTGTCAGTTCGCAAGAAAAAAAAATTCTTTCCAACTTCTCCTTCAGCAACCTTTTTTGATTTTCTGAATTTTGAAAATGCCTCAGACTTCTCATTTATAAAATAAATCCACATGTACCTGGAATAATCATCAATAACTATCAACATATATTTCACCCCACCAATAGATAGTTGCTTGACAGGAACGAACACATCTGAGTGAATTAACTCTAATGGTTGCTTGGATGTATATTTTTAATCCAGATACGACAAGTGATGCACTTTACTATACTAACAGATTGCACATATTACATTTGTCCTTACTAAAAGTTTTGGAAGACCCTTCAACATTAACTTTAACATCATGACTCTAAGTTTAGAGTGGACAATGTGACTCAACTGCATATGCCATAAGTCCTTCGTCTCATTCTTTCTTGTCTTGTCTATGTATGTAGTTTCTGTCGACATTACATAGACATAATTCAACCTTTGCCTCTTAATTACTGGCTCTTTTTTATCTCAAGATCATGGTATATTCTTATATCTTGTGGACCATATATAACATAATGACATGAAGATGTCAACTGAGCTACTGAAGAAGATTTTTCTTCATACCTAGGACATAATAAAACATTTTGAAGCAGCATCAGATTAGCAAATATATTTGGAGACAAAACAATCTTACTAATGAGAGTAATTGGTAATTTTGTGTCATCTATTGTCCCCATTGTAAGACTTCCTTTGTACTCGGAAAATTTTGCAGCTTCTTTTTGTCACAAGTCATCTGGTTGGAGCGTTCCAAGTCAACCATCTAGTCAACCTCATAGTTAATTTGTTTAGAGGTTGTTACCGTAAGAGCTAACTCCTCTTGTTCTACAGCAAAGAACATCTCAGCATCCTTTTGACCTGAGGTGGCAACTACATTGCTCTCAACTGTCCTCTTTTTGAACCCGCAAATATTGTCTTTGTGTTCCTTCTTCCCACAGTTGTGGCATTTCCCATTAAACCTCTTGTTGTTGCCCCAATTATACTTCAAATTCCCCCTTGGACAAGAGCTTCCTTCACCTTGATGACTTTTTTACTTATCATCAGTCCTTTTTTATCCATCAGTGTTGTATTTCTTGGGGTTCCCTCTACTTTTGTTGACGTATAATGCTTCCTCCTCTCCTTTAAGAGAGACTCCACACAGTTTCTTATCCAAGGCTTCCTAACCTGCTAGCAAATTCTCAAATTCTACAAGTGATGACTGTTTTTTTCATCCTTGTACAACAGCAATGAAGCTTCTATAATCAGGCTTCAAACCATGGATGATAATACACTTCATCCTCTTGTCTCCAATTGGAGCTTGTGGATCTAACTCTGAAATCTCTCGACATAGCATCTTCACCTTATGAAAGTATTTTGCAATTGTCATGTTGAATTGTCCTATCAAGATTAATTCACTCCCTAAGAGTTGGAGCCTCGTATCATTTTTCATTGAAAATAAATTGGCGAATGTATCCCAAGCTTGCTCCGAGGTGGTGGTGTCTCGTATATGCTCTAGCACATCCTCTCGGCCATTGTTTTCAAACAGAACATGGCCTTACCAGCTTTTATCTTCCACTTATGCAGAGTGTCGTTTGCATCTTTTGCGGCTGGCTGTGTCACGTCGCCACCGTTGACAGCCTCTCACAGATCTTTCCCTTGCATGTAAGACATTATGCAAGTTGACAAAGTAGTGTAGTTGTTGTTGTTGAGTCTTTTCATTCAGCCGATAACTTGTAGGTATGTCATCGTGTCAGCAACAAAAGTCTCAGAAAAAGAACTACAATAAATGATCTCACAAGGAACAACCTTGCTCTTGATACCAAATGAAGAACTTAAAATACAATAAGCTAAAAATACAATATAACTGGTGTTGACACCCAATTTTGTCCCTCCACTATTAAATTAATTTTCAAGCTTCTTAAATTTCTAACAAATTGAAGTAATTGTTTTGGAAAAATCAAAAATACTTTTGAAATCATTTTCAAGGCAATTTTCCATTTTTACTATAAAATATATCTCTATATACTTAAAATATATAGATTTATATAATTTTTCAATTTGAGTAAATAGTTAGTAAATCGTTTTACCAAAAATAGAGTTTTAATTAAGTATGCATCTTATTTCCTTTCAAACTGATCACAATATAATAAAGATCTTTCTTTTCGAAACAATTATTTTGTATTGTCGAAGTTAAGAAGCTTAAATAATTAATTAGATTCATAATTTATCGAATTTCCATTTTATCGAATTTCAACTAAAACAATTCGAATTTGGTGAAAATGTGAACCAAGGGACCTATTCCCTCTTGAAATTTTTTTAATTCAATTGGGCCTCTAAACTTAGCAAAATCAGCAAATACTTGACCCATTTTCAAAGACCCGACCCATTTTCCCTCTAAACCCATATTTTGTACTCTTCTTCCTCACCAACGCACATCTCTAGCGAATTCAACCAAAACGACCCAAAATGCGAGATTCAACCGAGAGGAAGAATCCAAAGCGACGCCAAGGTTCCTTTTTTGCTTAGGTTGTTTTGTCACGCGGAGGGCACGAGCTCTTGTACCCGTGATACAGTCCAAACGTTCCCAAACAGTAATATTCATTCCAATTTCCTTTTTCCTTTTTCCTTTTTCCTTTTCCAATTTTGTTCAAAATAGTACGAATTCCTACACCCTCCAGCTCACCTAGCCTTATCCTTTAAGATTTTTGAATTTGGGATTCTCCCACATCGGTTGTATCCCAGAAATTCCCCTCAAATCTCTCCTATAAAAAGACCCTCTCTTCACTGTTCAAAGGAGGATTTTTTGGAGACCTGAGAGTACCCCTAAAAGGTTCGGGAATTCTTCATTCGATAGTTTAAAGTTTTGTGGTTGTTCGAGTTGAAGAGGTGGAATCGTCTCCCTTGAACCCGTTGTCCGGTTAGCTGCTCGGAAAGAGGTAAATTATTTCTTTAACTTTGTTTTCCTTTTAATTTCTAGTTCTATTATGTATGTGTTCTTAGCTTTGTACGTGTTTTAACTGGGTTTTAGTCTCCGTATGCTAGAATTTGGTTGATGGGTATTAGCTAGTAATATCCCTTTCATTATTTTCAGTTTTTTGTTTTCATAATTAGTTTCCACTACCTGTATGTGTTTAATTCTGCCTAAGCTGTGATTTTTTATATATCTTGCTTCACCAGCCTTTAGAATTTGTTTATTTTGGGAAAATTAAATAATATTGTTGTTGTTCGAGCTTTTGCTGAATTAGTATAGCTTCATTCATGTCTGTCCTAATTCTTTGAGCAATCAGTTTAGTCTAAAGATATGTTGTACAGCTTAGGAGTTCAAGTTTCATCATACATATGCCTCTGAGATAATATGCAGTTTGTGTTCTCTTGTGCATTTCGTAGATATATGGCTTCAATATATATATATATATATATATATTTCTTTTTTGATGTTCATTCTTGTTGTTGTTTAATTGTTTGGTATCCATGCGTTGCTTTCAAGAGTTATGGTAGGCTGTATGATTGAATGGTCATTAGTTTTTCTACTCGTATTTTTTTTACTTCATATTAGTGAAATTAGTTTTAACAGTTAGTCTTCAAATTTCCTTATAGGACTATCAATTGCTTATTTTACTGAGAATACATGTGTATACCATTATTTGTTTATATGCTATGTTAGTATACTCCTTTACAGTGCATGTGTAAGAATATATTTGAGTTGATAATTAGTATTTCGTCTCTTCTCTTAGAAATAGGTTTAGGCTCTGTGATTAGATTTTAGATATTGTGTACCTATTTAAATTGTTGTGATCAAAATATGAAGTTTAGTATATAATGTCTAATCCATGCTATTGTTTGAAAGTTTCGTGCCTATTCGGAAGTTTGCCCGTGAGGTTTGGTTTATTATTATAAATAATTTGAGTGTCTAGATTTATTATTAAGATGAAAGGATTCATTGCTGCATCCAAGTGATTTGTTTGAATATTTTTGTAAAGTCTTATCATGTTAAGTTATTAATTTTTATCTCATTTTGCGCATGAACTCTCTTGTTCGAGTCCAATTGGACCATCTCTTGCATACTCCACTTCTTGAGTCAACCTCATCGAAGTCGTGAAAGAGAAGCTAATATTATTGGGTTAAATCCCAAATCAGTGGCAGCAGAAGTAGCGGCATAATAGCAATCCCAAATGGCCGAAAATTGAATTTTGGATTTTAGAATCCAATTCAATTGCAGCAGTAGCAGCAGCAGTCCCAAAGGGACTAAAATTGGAAATTTTTGGACTTTAATAAGTCCAATTCGCAGCAGTAGCAGCAGCCCCCAAAGGGCTAAAATTTTTGGGACTTAGGACTTAAAGGTCAGATTTGAGCATAAGCGTCAA